CTCAAGCTTCTCCACATCCTTTTTGAATTGTGGAGCCCAAAACTGGACACAGTACTCCAGCTGCGGCCTCACTAAGGCCGAGTACAGGGGGAGAATGACGTCCCGGGATTTGCTTGAGAAGCATCTATGGATGCAAGACAGCGTTTTGGTCGCTTTACTAGCCGCCGCATCGCATTGCAGGCTCATGTTCATCTTGTGGTCAATGATGACCCCCAAGTCTCTTTCTTCCATAGGACGCCGACCGCTCGGGGGTCGCATAACTAGTTAGCATGCCAGAGTCTCGTTCGTTATCGGAATTGACCAGACAAATCGCTCCACCAACTAAGAACGGCCATGCACCACCACCCACAGAATCGAGAAAGAGCTATCAATCTGTCAATCCTTTCCGTGTCCGGGCCGGGTGAGGTTTCCCGTGTTGGGTCAAATTAAGCCGCAGGCTCCACGTTTCCCGTGTTTCTCCAGTAGCCACCTAATGTTTCAAGTAGTGTTTCCTCCCAACACAAGGTAACCTGCATCTGCAAATGTGTTTGAAAAGCTGGACCTGAATCACTTGTTTGCCTGGCCAGTTGGAAGGAACAGCCTTCATGTTCTAGGCACATCGCACATGCCGGAGTTTACATGAGATGCAATCAATTTGAGTGGCTGTATCAGTGACATCTTTGTTTTAGGTAACACAAAGAACATGTTCAACAACTAATTGAAGTCTGCCGCTTCCCAATTGTCCTTTCCTTCCACTCAATATGTTATGGGATTCGGTAACAATTTGTCTTTGCAAACACAATACAAGCCTCCAGATTTGCTCTCTGAAATTGAAATGCTTCTTTAGGGAGACACCTCTGACCCTTCTGAAATGTGAAGTGGTCACAACAGCATATGCAGAGTTGAAGGCAAATGGTGATCTATTCTTCCCATCATTAACCCTCATATAGGTGAATACTGATGCTGGATTCTGTTCCTCCCAGCTCAAGGCAGTCCTCCAAAGCTCCTAGTATCAGCAGTCTTCCAAAGCTCTGACTCACAGCACTCTTGCATTTGCAGAGGGGGGAAACTGCCTCTAGGAAAGTCACGTAACCTTTTCACCTTTATTAAATCCTGTTCTGCATCCGCTGTTTGACTTCTGTTACCTGAGCAAGAGGGAGGCTGAAAAGAGTAGTAACCATAACAACTAAACAGGAACAACAGAGCTGGAGGAAGAGCCATGTCTCAGTCCAGTTGGCGCTATCCAGTCTATGGGAGATGTGGGAAAGTAGCAGTACTTGCCCTCTTTTCAGCTCTCCTTTCCCAGGGAGGCAACAGTGGCTGGTGTTAGAGTAGGGAAGGAGCAACCAGACTCCTGAGTTTCAGGGAACAAAGTGCCAGGAGCTCCGAGTTTCATAATCAACTCATTGCTTGTGACTTGGAAAACCCATTGCCCCTTCTTCCTTTACCTGGGTGGAAACTGTATGGACACTTGTCTGCCTCAGGGCATGGGGAGATTCAGTTAAAGCTTGAAATACTTTGAGAAACTAGAGTGAAATGGAAAAAAATTCAGGTATCATTCGTGTGGTAATCATAGGCGACTGGTAGAGGGTGCAAGGGGATGCATGTCCCCCCCCCCGATGGGGACAGTGCCCAACACTGATGCTGTCGGTAGGGCTGGTGTCCCCCTGCCAGGGTCGAAGGTTTCTGCAGGTGCCCCCCCCAGATTCAGGAAGCACCAGTCATTCATGGTGATAATGATTCCCTCTTGTCCCAGTGCAGGCTCTCCAGGAGTATTGCTCTCAGTAGGATGCTCCCCACACTCTTGTCCTAAAATACCCTCCAACCTGCGCCCATCTCAGTGGCAGGCCTTTTGGCCCTCCTTATTTAGCCTTGTCTGTAGATGGTCTGGGTTAATGCATCTCCTGTCCCTTTGCTTAGGACAACAAGCACTGGGAAGCACGGACCCCTCTGGCACTGAAGGAGGAGCAGGGAGCAGTTGCAAGGAGGGGAAGGAGCTCGGGCTCAAGGAGGGGGTCAGTGCCTGTTTCTAGGGGTTAAGTCAAAGCCTGACAGTGACAGAAAAACGTGGGAATGGAGCGGCTGGGGAGGGCAGAGAAGATCCCTGGGGTCTCCTCACAGGAGATAACCGCCTCGGGGAGCGCTCCCCACCCGGGAAGGGGGTTTGCAGGGACGGAGCGGGAGCCAGGGGTGACTGAGGGCGCGGGGGCAGGGGGGCAGGCGGGAGCAGGGGATGCTCGTGTCTGGGGGGGCCC